GATATAATTCTGCCCCCACATCTTCTAATAGCTTTGACTGTTTTTCATCTTCTTTATTTGAATCTTGAGTAAAGTTTTCATGTTGATCAACTAAGTTAATTGATTCATTGATTGGAGCAAATGTATCCCTCAACAATCCTTCAATATCATCTGTTTATGGTTGCTCAATTTGAGTAGTTTGTGATTCAAAATTAGACATACTAACAACACCATCATTTTCTGTACCTTTAACAACTTTATGATCCTCCCCATGTCTATTCCAAATAACATATCCAGTAAAGAATCCATTGGTCATAATGTGTTCCTTCACATCTTGTATTGAATGAAAGTATCTGTTGATGCATGATTTACATGGGCATAATGTCTTTCCTGATAGATTCTTACTGCGACTAGCAAAATTTAAAAAATCTTCAACTCCTTTGTTGTATTCACGACTCCATCTTGACTTGGTTATCCAACTCTTATTCATTTTAAAATTCACTGCAGTGTTTAACCATTGAAAATAATTAAAAAACTTTATGGTATGAAAATAATTGCATGATTCAAATGCAACAAAATATGGTATGAAAATAATTGCATTTGGAGCCTAAAATGGTAAAAAGAACTGCACATGCTTTGTTTCCCAAAACCATTTGGAGCCTAAAACAATGAAAAATCTGCACATGCTTTGTTTTCAGTTTCGCTACTATATGCCACCAAATGTTTGTAAATACTTAATCTCAATCCATCAAGATCTATGCAAGAAAATAAAAGAGCGTCGTACATAAAGTCCTTTTTTTTTAACACATGAACCAAATGAATGCCTTCCAACATTTCATTTATCAACAATAACCCAACCAATTTGATCTTCCAACATGTCACATCATTAACATGGAAAAGATAGATACTCCATAGAAACCATAGAAACCGATGGCTAAATACTAAATCATCATCATCTCCCTCACAAATATTTAATTTGCATCTTATGTGTATGACATTAATCTTAAAAATTGTCAAAGGATTCTAAAATAAGGAAAGCACATGAAAACCTACCTTGATCTTCAATTATCACGTGCCAATGTATTTATAAAAAAAAAAAGAATGCAAACCATTGTTTGAAAGACAGAATACATGTATGAGAGAAATACTTAACACAAATAATTATTAGTTTGTTACACTCATTTACAGGATGCGAAGAAAAGGAACAAACTCAAGTCCTTTGTTAGAAATAATTTCGGAATTATGTGAAATAGTCTCTTCATTCATCCGATAGATATATCACAAAAAAGGTTCTTGCTTACATGGCATTTCAAACAGATAACAGAAAAGTCTTCTCTGTTCATTAATATAAAATTCGCATGAGCAAGCCCAATACTAACATGAAATACATAAAATAAACATTTTAACATTATACAAGATGTATGAAATAAACAATCGCATAGCTTCAAACAATTTAAAATTATGAATTCATTTTTATATGGTGTTGACGAAGTATCAGATCTACAAGATAATAGCCCTTCATAATACATTAACAACCATACCCATATATTCATGGCATTTCTCATTCCGAAGATAACTCATGAAACTCTTTAACACAAAGTCACCCATGAAACCATATGTATTTGAGAAAGAAAATTGCAGCCGTGCTTTCCCAAAACCAAGTAGCAAGCCAACAAATCATTTAATGTTGAATCCCAACTAAGTTGTAATATAAGAAAGAAGATTTGATGCAATCGGTCCTTCCCACATTCAAAGAAAATACTCCAACAACATGAATAATGATGAACTGAATCTATATAAATTCTCGCTTAAAACATATGACTCATGAGTATTTTCCAACACCACTTGTCTACCCCACCCTCAGGCACGTAATTGTAGTGAATATAATTTTATGATGTAAAGCCACTTGACACTTGAGGAAATGAAAATGAAATAAAAAAATACTGAAGGAAATGAATCCAAAATTGTCTTTTCCCATTCGTTTGATTTAGGAGAAACTGAGTGGAAAAGTAATTTTCATTTTTTTTTCTTAGCTTGAAGGAATAACCAAGAAATTGAATAATGAACACACCCAGTTATTTAGAAACTTTGATTTTATTGGGAAGAACAGTTGGCCAAGGAAGATCCGTCCACAAACAGAAATCATTTACAATGGAAATAGTGGTAAATCACAGCCAGTACTTCTCCGGTAGACACGAGATTGAGCAGAGAAAAATGATACAAGGTAGTACTACACTTGCTTAACAATGAAAGCACTGATCACAGATATCGGGTAACAGAACCAATACCAGAAGTTATCCAAGGAGAAAGTTACCTTCAATTGATGTGATCACTAAATCAGAAAAGACGAATCCTGAAGCTTGTCAGACACCAAATCAGTCATTAAGAGATAGATATAGGTGAATTGACGAACAAAAAAATACTATACTTGTCACATGTATAAGCTTCGCCGTCACCGTGAAAGCCATATGAGCAAGGGAAACATTCATGTGAGCAAGACTACCATATAAAACCTCAACATGAGCACAATAATTACAACTTTCTCTCAGCGGCCTTTCATCAAATGGCTAATGTGCCATACTCATAACACTTCTCTGAACAAATCGACATGGGAATTGCTGCCTCACAACCTTCATATCCTCATTAAATCACTATGCATCCTTATCAAGTTCATGAGCACACAACAATGCCAACATATATACTAAGAGTTCACCAAAAATCGATCATAAATTAGATATCATCCACGAGATCTTAGATTAGGATGGGGAGAAGTAAAGGGAGCTAAGGTAGAAGAGGGTCAAGAAGAAGGAGAAATGAAGTAAGAGAGAAGAAGGGAAGAAGAAGAGGAGGGGAATACTCGCCTTGCAAAGAGAAGGGTGCAAGGAGTGACGGGAGCAGGGGAAGTCGCGATCCGGGCGGCTTCGAACGGGAGCGAGGCGTCGGTTTCGGTCGTGAGAGAGAGATCTGAGCGGGAGAAGCGTTCGGTTCCGATCCTGGAGGTGGAGTCGGAGGCGTCGGGAATGCGAACCGAAGGACGCTTCAGCTTCCTTGTCTATTTCGGCGTCGGTCTGGGTGTCGGTGTCGGCGTCAGCGATTGTTGGGAGGGAGACGGATGGGGAGGAGACGGATGGGAAAGAGAGTCGCGCGCGCGGAGCAAAGCAAGATCCTGTCCGAATAATAAAACTAGGGATTTATTTGCTTTCGCGGTTTTTTTTAGATTTTCGCGGCTAATTTGAGCAGGTTATATTACATCGGTTTATTAATTCGCGGCTAATAACTGCTGCGGAAGCCTTAGTTTTTTAGTAGTGATGGCTACTAATCACCGTCGAACTTTCATCTGATCTCCGACCATCGTCGAACTTCCACCCAACCATCGTCGGACCACCGCCATCGACCACCACCAGACTTCCACCCCGACTCCAGTAGACCTCATCCCATGACCAACCATTGTTGGTTCTCCGTCGGGCTACCAAGTACGGTATGTCGAACCATAGTGACCTGCAAATTAGGATCCCTTTGACCACCATTGCCCATCAACTGCAGTATGTCCGACCACCATTGTCAGTAGACTACATCCCTTTGACCATCGTCACCTGCTGACTACTGTCCCTCTGATCTCCCGTCACCTACCGATTACAGTCCCTCCAACCTCCGTCA